AACCATTATACCCTGATTTCCCATTTTCAATGGGTTCAGGGTATAAAAATCAAATAAAAAATTAAATGAAATATAAAATGAATAGTTCAATAATTACAAACAAACAACTAAAACAAAAAGCGGCAAAACAAATATAATATATATTCATTTACATTATTTATTTAACCATGTTTTTCTTTTATCAAGTAATCTTTCAATTTAAGTATTTTCACTAACTTAAACAACAATTCAATACAATTTATTATGATGGCTTCAGTTTGCTGTACTTGAAGACAGAAAGCCTTCTTTTCTTCAATGCACTCAGTTTAATTACCGATGCTAACCGATAGTTTTGAGATGTATATTCTCATTATCATGTGACATTATACTCACCTATTTAGTCTCAATAGTATGACTAGCTCAATTCATTGGCAACGTAGCGCCATTAGCTCACTTTGTCCGCTGTAATTGCTCAATTAATTGAAAATTCACTCCTTGCGATAAATCTACCCTGCTCAAGCGAATCAGCATATTCGATAACAAAGGGGCGCTTCCACTGCCATTTGCTGTGAGCCAAAAGCAGGACATCGTTAAGGACTACAGAATGACGTGGGGATACATTTGCTGCTAATATCCGTTTACGTCTTCAGTTGGAAGAAAATTACAATATTTCGTGTGAGATAGTTTGCCTGACTACATCCACAACCACGCCCACCCACACACATGTATAGCACACATATATATATACCTAATTTATATACACAGCTGTATATACAAGAGACACAGGGAGAGAGAGGAGGGGGCCGAGCTACTTTTGTATCTAATTTAAATTTCACAATTTGGTGAGGCAAGAAAAACGCCAAGCGAAAAATGAGCCGGGCCCTCAGCTTAAGCTAATTTTCTCGAGTTGCGTGGTTGCCGCAGCAGTGGGCTGGACGGGGAGGGCTATATACGGGCATAGTTTGGGCTCTGTGCCGGATTAAAGCCCAGTAAGTGGACACAGACAAGAGGCTAGCAGGAGCAGAAGGAGCGGAAGGAGGCCAGCTCTCAGTTTTGGGCTTGTGCCGTTGCCGTTTGCCCAGCTGCTTAGCCAAATTATATTATGACTTGTTTAAAATTCAAATTTGAAAACACTAAAATCATGTTTTCGATGTCTGGCCGCCGTTTTCGGCAAGGGTTTAAGTAGCGCTCGCCCAAGGGTGCAGCAGAGGGTTGGGTTTGGCATCTTTAGCTGTGTCTGCCTGTGTGTTGTCCTAGCCGACTCAAGGCAATGTCCTTTCATGGTGTGTATGTATGTATGTGTGTGTGCTTATTATATGTAGCCTAAACATCGCCTCCACTAGCCACATAAATTTTACATAGAACTGTTTAAAACTCTCCCTGTGTGTGTGTGTGTGTGTTTGCCATTTGCTTCTAGACTATTTAAATGATTTCATTAGTTGAGCTGGCTGGCAATTTAATAAGGATAAAATTGATTTTCCAATATATTTGCGTAGCTAATAGAATATAGCTATATAATATATATACTTTCCCAGCTGAGAGGTGTGCAAATGTGCATCTAGTTTATTATTTATTATATTGTATATACACACACACACACACACACACATACGTATTTGAAAAATCAATGGCAGCTAGCTGTCCTAACCGTTTTCGTAGCCAAGTCAATTAGGCTCATTTGGCTGGCAGACACAAAGTTCTGCGGCCGAAACTATTGCACCTGCATAGGAAACTTGAAATTATACTCGCACATATCCTTTGCCTATCCTTACAATCTAATTAACTGTCATTGTGTTAAAAAGACGCCAAACTGGCAACCAAAACTCGCTGCCAGCCAAAGGTGTCTCCTCTTCCTCCTCCTGCGCCTCACATACACACACACACACGCCGCCAGCTCTGAACAATGACAGAGCCGTAGCTGGCAACCCGTACGTAGCCCCTCGTCCGTCTTCCTGGGCTGCTTGCGTGTCAGTGCTGAGCCGCGCCGCGTTGCAAGCCGCCGCCCCCCGTGCGCGTCACGTCATTTGAGGCGCTAATACTAATGCGTTGGCAATAACTAGGACTACACGATTCCAATTCCACATGCAAGGGCAGTTCTGTGGTGCTCCGTGCTGCCGTCAGCCTTCGGAAACTAATCAATAGCGCAAAAATTTTACGTTTAATTAAAAATGTCTGCGTGTGTAAACCGGGCAGGTGGCAGCGCCTCAAGACAGCGACTGTCTTGTGACTATGCAAACTGCCAGAGCCAGAGCCGGGATGTCGGCGCTAGTTAGCCAGTGCCGTGGGGCACGTGGCATTAACCGAACTGTCAGAATGATAATTGCATTGCATAATGCATAATTACGCCTAATGGCGGGCGGGATGAGGGGCGGAGGGCAAACAAGGCCACAAAGTTTCACTCAATCAACCTGCAGCTAGACTTAATTATAGAATGCATTATTAAATATGTCGAAAGGATACAAGAATTTTGCATATAATTACAATTTAGTCACATGATATTTCGATTTATATAAGTGGATTCTCAGTCTAGTTGAGCTAGATCATAAACTGAATTAATAAATATATGAAGTATAATTAAAAATG